CTGATGAGTCATGATGGTCGGAGATGGAACCAAAAACGGTTCGAACAGATCGACAAGAGATTACAACTGATTACAATCAACAATTAACTATCATCACTTAGGTAATGATTAACACTATTAACATGATGCACTTTTCAGCTTAACACCTTACAAATGCAGCACTTCTTAGTTCCAAAAGAGACAAAGGACAGCACTTCATAGAATAATTACCACATAGCATGAGGTAGCTCGAAGGAGCCTTTGATTGACTTAGATTACTACTTTGCCAGAACCTACAAACCTAAACAACTTAGACTAAGTTGGTCCAGGAACAGTTTTTCATTTACAAATAAAAAATCCATTTCCATTTTCTCTGCTACAAAGCTTTGAACTGCACAGCAAAACTTGCTGTATATAGACCTCATATTGCATCATTATGATTGTTTACTTAAAATGTGAAAACCTAAATTAAACATGAAAAACACTCAAATGTAAAGATTCCTCTCTTAAAAGTACAAGTCTACTTACACTGCCTTTTCATGGGTGCTGCCATATTGGATGATGATGGGGGACTGGGGCCAAAAAAGCATTGTGGTTTTAAACAATAGATTTGGAGGAAGAGAAAATTATGAGTGCATTAAATCTATAAGATAAATATAAATGGGATAGATGTGGGCCATTAATGTTAAATTAAATGAATTTTTCTTTTATAGATATATCCATGGCAGCCACGTGTTAAATTTCCTACAGAAGAATTAAAAAATACATTTTGCTTGATATTGGACTGAATTATATACTAAAAAATGGTATATGTGACCTTGCACAGGAAAATGTACACTACGCCTTATCCGTTAAATGGATAAAAGCATTTATCATCCGTTTGTGATCTGTCTGTAGTCCATTTAAATGTTTCATGAAACTGTTGCAAGCATTAGGTGAAGCATTTAACGTTATGATGAAACTATTTGAAGGCTTTTGCAACCGTACATAAATTTTTTGCATCTGTTAAAATGGAAACAATTACCCGTTAATAACATCTAAGCAGCCATTAACATGGGAAAAGCAATCCGTTAAAGAAATCCGAGCATCCATTTAAATGGCAAAAGAAATCCATAAAGAAATCTTTGAATTCGTGTTAATGGGAAACGTATCCCGTATCCGTTTAGAAAGTCTTGGAACCATTACAAAAACATCTTAACAAACATTTTAAGCTTACTGTTAAAATTACCAAAGACAATGTTGACCAGAAGCTACAGAGTTCTGAAGATAGACAGAACAGAATGGTAAAACAATTTGTTCAACTGAACAGAAAGCTGTGGTATGCATGTGTCCAGAATCCCTAGTAATTATTGAACTATAACTCAACAACTTAAACAAAACAATATGTATTAAGTTCATTTTGTATGGTGGAAATTGACTTGTTGACAAGTCAGGTGTAGTTTAAAAGGTAGCAGAGAAACCTTTTGTGATATAGAAAAGTGTTATTGTCAGTTGCTCTACTATAATTAGTGGGAGTGATATAGGTCTTGAAATTAAAGTACAAAATCTTCCAAACTTTGTCTCCTTTTTTGCAACAAGTACTTTGGTGAACTACTACTGCCACAGTTACTGAGGGGCACAGTTGACACATAGTGAAACCCATTTATATATCCAATGAATATCACTGTTTGCTTTTTCTCATGATATGTAGTTGATGCAGGATAAATAATTGTAGCATCAGGTTTATTAAAATCAGACTCAGTAATATGAATGACACAGTTGTGTGAGTTTGCTACTGCCTGAATAATTACATTGTCACACCATGTGCCTGCACTTGACATTTGTTTTACATAATNTGTCTCCTTTTTTGCAACAAGTACTTTGGTGAACTACTACTGCCACAGTTACTGAGGGGCACAGTTGACAAATAGCGAAACCCATTTATATATCCAATGAATATCACTGTTTGCTTTTTCTCATGATATGAAGTTAATGCAGGATAAATAATTGTACCATCAGGTTTATTAAAATCAGACTCAGTAATATGAATGACACAGTTGTGTGAGTTTGCTACATCCTGAATAATTACATTGTCACACCATGTGCCTGCATTTGACATTTGTTTTACATAATTTTCCCAAGTGTCATCAACAATACTTTCAACATACAACTCTGGGTGATTATTTAAATGGGCTATTCCTGACAAACGAATCTGAAAGTGTAAATCAGCAGTTCCATAAAGCTGATGGGAAACTGAACCCTGCGAACAGGAATCCGGGAAGGTTGTCTATCCCTTGTTTTTCTCTGATTTTCTCTTGTAACTGACCGGATTCTCTTACAATGTGTAAAATCCCTTGCAATTACAGATAAACAATTACTCTTTTCAATTATTTTTCTTTCTTGGCCTTCTTCAGCATTACAGTTAGCACTACATCCACACAAAGTTAATTCCTTTTCATATTCAAGGCAAAGAAAACTATTCACCGAGGCCTTAACGGGAAGTCGTGTATGACTTGCATTAACAAATTTTCCGGACATATGACGAAAAATCGTGGCTAAATTCNTAAATTCTGAGCTACATAACTCGCATGGTTAGATTTGCGACCAGAAATCATGGCTAAATGCCGAGCTACAAAACTCAGATGGTTAGATTTGCGACCAGAAATCATGGCCATGGCCAACAACACCACTCGGTGAGTTAAATTTCTGACCACAAATGATGGCCAGTTTTGGAACAACACCACTTGGTAAGTTAAATTTCTGAACACAAATGATGGCCGCTTTCCGAGCTACACAACTCGGCAAGTTAGATTTCTGACCACAAATTATAGCCAATTTTCGAACCACACCACTCCGTCAGTAGTCTCAATGGACACACACTAGGCCCCGATGTACTGTAAGCTTTATCTTTAATCCAAGCGAAATCTCCCAGTAACGAGAACTAGATACAACCAAGATGGCGGACACATGAAGACTGATCGCGCGGGCTTTTATACCACAATGAACGCCGCTGACCGACCGACTACAGCGGAGTGCCGCTGGACAACCAGCCTACTGGCGCTCGGTGAGTTAAATTTCTGAAAACAAATCACAGCCGCTTTCCGAGCCACACAACTCAGCAAGTTAGATTTCTGACTACAAAGCTCAGGCTGAGGAGCGAAATAACACAGCTGAAGTTGAGCTTCGTCAACGCAGTTGTTTGTTGCTGACGACGGGCGATTTCGTCTNATCGCGCGGGCTTTTATACCACAATGAACGCCGCTGACCGACCGACTACAGCGGAGTGCCGCTGGACAACCAGCCTACTGGCGCACAACAAAGAAAACAGTCAGTGACATTCGGTTAAGGAGTTAGCTAATAACAAAATCAGTGTGAAGAAAAGAGCCGAGAGAGAGGGAGAGAGAGAAAGTGGAGAGAGGAGAGCGCTCTCACCAACTAAATTGTGTATATATACATGTAAAAGTTATCTCTATTACCGAGAAATGGTCAGGGCAAGAACTTCTACGCCCTAAATTTCTTCTAAGTACGTAAATGTCATTTACACTGTTCAATTTACCGAGTAAAGCTCTTCACATTTTTTTTTTTTTCATTAGTACTATCTCACTTTTGAGGAACATTTCCATATTAAGTGTAAATACTGCATTGCGGAATAACCTCTAAGTAAGAAATAAATAGGGCCTATGTACCCCCAACCAAAAGCAGTGGCACTAATAAAATGAAATAGTAAATCAAAATCAGAGTAGAGTTTTATTTGCAGACAGGATTTACAAGCACAATCGTCTACTCGACATTTGGACTATATAAGCATTTCACCAAACCGAACTAAT